CAGGCAAGCGTGGTCCGTGTGGGGACAGCCCGTTTCGCCGGACACCTCGTACGACACGTCATTGCACGGGTTGTCTGTGCAGTAGAAGTTGGGCTTAAAGTCCTGAGCAGCGCACTGGTGGCGGCTGCCCGCCATCACTGCCACCATCAGCACCACTGTCATGGCCACTATGGTACCAGCGCAACGCGAGGGCAAGCGCAAGTGCGCGCGTGGGTGCAAGCGCGGGTGTGGGTGCATTTCAGCTGGTGCTGGTGCTGCTGGTGCTGCTGGTGCTGCTGGTGCTGCCCGGCACTCATCCGCCATTTGGCGTGTGCGTGTGCATCAGATCAGAGAAGCCAGGGTAAAGGGGGAAAATGCACGCCGAGGTTTGTGGTTGATGAGGCAAACAGCGCTTGTGCCACTGTCAGTTGGTAGACCAGTCAACGCAAGCAGACCTCGAAGAACGGCTGCAGCTGCAGCGGTGAGGAGAGGGGATGATGATGCGACCATGACGGCGGTTGCCGTCACCGTGTGGTGGCTGTTGATCTCGTTGCTTGTTGTTGTTGTCCTTGTTCGTTTGCTTGTGGTTGCGCGCGGAAAATTGGTTAAAACCTTCAACGACTTTTCTACAATCACAACAAACAAGCGAAGGAGAAAGCGCTCCGCACTCGCTGTCCTACATCCAGCAAAGCAGCAAGAAGCCATCCCTCCATCCATCCGCTCCCCTGTTTCACTTGTTGTCAGTCCTCGCGATGCCGGCAGAGTGGGCACTGGTTGCTGAACACCTGCTGTTGCTGGCAGATTGGAGAGATCGCCTGCATGCATCGTCCTCATCCGGTTCCAGTGCATTTGCTGCGACGAGCGCTGACGAAGAGGATGTTGCCGTTGCTGCGGTTGTGCAGGGTGATGTTCATGACCAACGCGCGCTTGTGTGCACACGTTGATCGCGTTGATGCTCACGTGCCGTGAGTTGTATCACGACCTGCCATGGGCCATGCCCAGGTGGTGTCTTGCTGCTTTGCTCAATCGCCCACGCCAATCCGTGTGGGAGAGCAAAACCTTTGTGGACAGCTTCCAGCGCCGCCTGCTATCTTCCCTTCAAGGAACAAGAGCGGCACACAAGGCGCGAGCTGGGCAGCGCCGTCTTCCTGCCGCTGCCGACACACGCATGGACGACGATTGGGCTGTTTGGCTTGAGAACCGCTTTCTCGCTTACAGCTGGCTCGGTGTTACGTGGGACGCGACCTGCCCGTTCCTTCGCGCACAGGTGCGATCCGTTGCAGCGGCTCCCAACAGCAACAACCTCTGGCGCAAGTTCCAGCACTGCGGTCGCATCTTCTTCTGCGGCTTGGACAAGCTGGAGGCGTGGGCTGCAGACACACAGCAGGCTTCGCATGCCACAACCCAGAAACCTCGCGAGGAACGTGGCGCAGCACACAGAGCTCACAGAGAAAGTGGGGACAAGAGAGACGCCCTCATGATGCAGACTCAAGAACCGTGCGCGCAGCAGCAGACACACGTACTCGAGACAGCAAGCCACGAGAACCAACACAAAGACCTTGGCACTGCGCACAGTATGTCCACGCCCACGCGCGCACCCACACTCACACCGGCAGTCTTCTCATTGTACGCATCCCTGAACAGCCAAGCAGATGCTGAGCGTTTCCAAGGCCTACGCACGACCGTGTTTGCGAATGCGCGCGCAGAACACGTCTTCATTCAGGCACAGGCACCCCTGGCCTCCCTGACGGTGAGCAACGCAGACAACGTTCACATCAACGCGTGCTCGGCGGTGATTGACAACTTGGTGATCCGCGACGTGACACGCGTCGTCTGGCTGCCAGCAACAACACAACGCAGCACCGCATGCCACCTCAGCAACGTCCAGCATATTGACCTGCGCACCAAGAGCACGCTCACAGAAGATCTGGGCGCATTTGCCGGAATCCCGAGCGTTGGCCTTGCAACTGCAAACGATGACACCGGTGTGGACCTTGCGCCGCTCCATGGCGTGAAGCAGCTGGAGTTGCCCACCGAAGGCACGGAAGCAGTACGGGGACACTCGGTGTTTCAAGCAGCAGAAACGCTCGTGCTGTCGCACACGAGCCTCACCCCGACAGACACGCTGCCGGTGGCGACCGTTGTCAAACTGTCCCACATGAGTGCTGTGCCGGAGCTGCTGCATCTGCCCAACGCCATCGACATTGCCCTGGGGTATGGGTCCAAGGTGCGGCAGTTCACATGTGCGCCACGCGTCGAGAGACTCGTGATTCGTGACGCCACGGGCACGCCGCCGTGCATTCCAAAGTTTGAGCACGCCCAGGTCGTGTGCCTTGCGCTGCCGCATCTTCACCTGAAGAGCGAGCAGCTGGTTGACCTCAGCAACCGCGTTGACAAGTTGGTACTTCGACGGTTGCTGCGCGTTCCGTATGATGCAGACTCGCCGCATACAAGCACAAGCGTCGTGCGTGGCATCCCCAACCATGCGCACGTGTGCCTGGACTGTTTCGAGATTGACGGACCGGTCCCGCCATGCGTCAAAGAGCTCCAAGCGCTGCTGGAAGGCAGCGCTTTGCAAGGCAGCTTCGTCAGCCACGTCCCGCGCCTGAGTCTCAACGACAAACGCGGGCACACTCGCATCAACGACGTGCACTTGCTCTCTGGACGCAAGGTGCTGCAGTTGATGCAGGTCTTGCTTGAAGGGCAGCTCGCGTCTTGCGAGCAGCTGAGTCTGTGCGGGTGCCGGGGGCGCCTGGGCTTGACATCCATTGGGTCCCTCGACCTGAATGGCGCAGTAGTGACTACTGAGGATGGCAACGGCGACGGAGACACCAACATCGATTCTGGCGATGGCAGTGACGACAGTGACAACAGGGCACTTGCGGAGACGAAGCTTGTCATCACGCGCGTGCACCATGTGACCCTCTGCCGTCTCGAGGAGTGCGACATCCACGACTTTGGGTGCTTTCAGGACGTGCAGCACCTCACGCTGAAGGAATGCACTTTCAAGGACCTGGCCAGCTTTCCGCCCGTGCATGTTCTCTTTTTGCGCAACTGTGAAACCATGGACGAGGACGGGTGGTGCCCAGATGCGGTCTTCGTGGACCGCTCGCCGAACGAGATGGAGCAACTCTTGCTTGCCGAGCGAAGAAGGTGGTGAACGGTCAGTGTGTGTGTGTGTGTGTGTGTGTGTGTGTGTGTGTGTGTGTGTGTGTGTGTGTGTAGCCTTCAGTCAGAACGTACGAAACACGGCAGCCCAGAACAGACACCACTGTGCTCGAAAACGCCATCACAGCCACAAACGTGCACGACCTCACCACATTCACGTGCAGGGACATCAACGCGGCCCTCTTGTAGGCCTCCGTGGCTTGTTGCTGTTGTTCTTCTCCTTGTTGGTGACCTGCTTCCTTTCTTCCCGCTTGTCCGCGTTCGCCCGTGTCGGTGCGCGGGGTCCGGGGGGGGGGCTTGCCCCTGCCCTTCTCCTCCTCCTCCTGCTCCACCAGCACCTTCTTCTTCTCCACCTCCTTCTCCTCCTCCTCCTCCTTCTTTGTCTTCTCCCCCATTCCAGCATTCCCTATTCCTCCCCCCCCCTATGCCCTGCTCTTCCCGTCTGTTGCATCTGCTGGCGCCCTCTCCTTCTGCTTCTTCCTCCTTGGCCTGTTACCCCCTCCCCTCTTGGTTCTCCCTGCCGCGCCTTCAGCAGAGCCATGGGCGCCAGGTCAATAAACGGGAACGTCCTGAGAAACGCCTCCCATGTGCACGGCTGTACTGGCCATCTTGCACACCCACCACAGAGCTGGTTGCACGGTGACGCATGGACCATGTATGCGCACACCGTCGATGCCCTGCCAACGTGTGGCAGGTACTATGCCATGCGCTCGAGCTGTGCCCAGCAGTCTACTGTTTTGGTTGTTGTTTTGCTTGTTGTGAGTTGGTGTTTGGTGGCCATTTTCCTCGAACCACCTCAACCACAACAAGCAAGAAGCAACCAAGAAGCATAAGCGAAACAAGCCAAGACTGGTTGACCACATACCACGCACATCCACCGGCGTTTGTGGTCCTTTGATCATCAGGACAGCGCTGCCTCTCCCTTGCCCCCTCAAGTCCTCAGCTTTCCTCTCAGTCCACACCACCCTTGTGTGTGACCACAGGACCACGGTGTGCGTGAGCGTACTCGCCGCCTCAGGCTGACGGTTTCTTTGCTTCTTCTGCCAACTGCTTGAGTTGCTGTGCAGGTGTGTGTGAGCTTTTGGTTCAAAACGCACAAGACACCTTCTTGGGCCCGGAAGCGTGTTCGTTGTTGCTACCACCAGCTTCTCGCACTCACTCTCAGCTGCTCTTTTGTGGTTTGCGAAGAGCTGAGCGACCACCCTTGCGTGCTCCACCAGCATCCCCCCCCCCCAACAAAAAAAAAAAAGCTGGTGGGCACTCTCTCCTCTCTGTCTGTCTGTTTCGTCTCCTTTGTTGTTCCCACCCCACCAGCCAAAAAAAAAAAAAGGCGAAAGCCACGCCCCCTCCCTTCCTCCTCTCCCTTGTGTGCACTGCAACCACAACAACCAACCACAACAACCTTGCCACTCTTCTCTTTCTCTCCTTCTCCCACCAACCAAGCCAACACAACCCCACTCCCCTCTTCCTCTCCCTGTTTGTCTCTCCCACCTCGACCATCTCCTCGATCGTCTCATCTTCCTGGCACCTCGCCCCGCGCCACCAAGCCCTCAAGCCCTCAAGCCCACCGTCCGCGCCACACGGATTGCCCACTGAGCGGTTGACCTCCAACCCAACCCCACACACCGCTCCTCAGCTCCTCAGGCTCCCCCCCCCCACACACACACAGCCATGGCTGACCAGCGACTGACGCACGGCGTGTCCGTGGCAGCTGTGCGGCGGTTTCTGGGTGATCTGAAGCGCGAGTTCCCCGACACGTACACTGAGATGACGACGGAGGATGCTTGCAAGCAACTGGTTGTGCCACGCACGCGCCAGGACAACTGCGCCTACGTTGAGCAGCTGCGCAAGCAGTCGCCAGAGCACGTGAACAAGGCCACCGTCTTTGTGTCGCACGCATGGCGGTACAAGATCGCAGACGTGTTGAACGTGTTGCTCGAGTTTGCGGAAGAGCAAGCAAGGAAGGACGACGGCCAGCCCGTGTTCTTCTGGTTTGACCTCTTCATGAACAACCAAAACGCCAACGTCACGGCCAACCTCCCACAAGAGTGGTGTGTTGTGTGTGTGTGTGTGTGTGTGTGTGTGTGTGTGTGTGTGTGTGTGTGCAGCTGTGCGTGTGTGTGTGTGTGTGTGTGTGTGTGTGTGTGTGTGTGTGTGTGTGTGTGTGTGGTGTGTGAAACTCTTGTGCTCTTCAACAACCACTGCCACACACACACACACACACGCGCGCGCGCTGTTCCCTCACAACAACTGCAACCCCTTCCCCTTTCCTCCCCGTCTTCCTTTCCTTCATCCTTTCTCCCTCCCCCTTTTCCTTTGTCAACACCCAGGTGGAGCACGACGTTCAAGCAGTCCATTGCCAACATTGGCCATGTGCTGCTGGTGCTCATGCCGTGGCGAGACCCTGTTCCTTTGACACGCGCGTGGTGCCTGTGGGAGATCTTCTGTGGCATCAGCAACGAAAGCACAGAGGTCACCATCCAACTACCCAACAGCGAAGAACAGGCGCTCGAAAACGCAATTCGCGACAGCTACACAGCCGTCACAGACACGCTGGTGCGCGTGCAGGCAGAGCGAGCCGACGCCTTTAACCCCCACGACAAACACATGATCTTCACGGCGATCGAGTCGTGGGCGGGTGGCTTCAGCGCAGTCAACCAGGCCGTGAAGGACCAGCTGCGCGCGTGGTGCCTGCAAAAGGCGGTGGGTGCCGTCGAAGCCATGCGGGCACGAGGCGAGGACAGCACTGACGCATATGCGAGGCTGTGTGGCCAGGTTGCAACTGTGCTCAGCCAGTTTGGCGAGCACGATCGCGCCATTGCCTACTACGAGACAGCGCTGCCGCTTCACCTGAAAACCGAAGGGGAGAAAGGAAAGAACGTGGCGGCGTTGTACGGCAGTCTCGGCAACGCCTACGACAGCAAGGGCGAGCACAACAAGGCGATTGCGTTTTACGAGAAGGCCCTCGCCATCAAGGTGGAGACGCTGGGGGAGAAGCATCCAAGCACAGCGAAGACGTACAACAACCTCGGTACCGCCTACTACAGCAAGGGCGACTACGACAAGACGGTTGCGTACTTCGAGAAGGCGCTCGCCGTCATGGTGGAGACGCTTGGGGAGAAGCACCCGAGCACAGCAAAGACGTACAACAACCTCGGCAACGCCTACGGCGACAAGGGCGACTTCGACAAGGCGATTGAGCTGTGTAAGAAGGCCCTCGCCATCACGGTGGAGACGCTGGGCGAGAAGCACCCAAGCACGGCCGACACCCACAACAACCTCGGCAACGCCTACAAGGGCAAGGGCGACTACGACAGGGCGGTTGAGCTGTACGAGAAGGCGCTCGACATCAAGGTGGAGACGGTGGGCGAAAAGCACCCAGGCACAGCACAGACGTACGGCAACATCGGCAGCGTCTACCACAGCAAGGGCGACTACGACAAGGCGATTGCGTACCATGAGAAGGCCCTCGCCATCTATGTGGGGACGTTGGGCGAGAAGCACCTGAGCATAGCTGAGACGTACAACAGCTTCGGTATCGCCTACCACAGCAAGGGCGAGTTCGACAGGGCCATCCACTACTACGACAAGGCCCTCGCCATCAAGGTGGAGACAGTGGGGGAGAAGCACCCAAGCACTGCCGATACCTACGGCAACCTCGGCAGCGCCTACCACAGCAAGGGCGACTACGACAGAGCCATCCACTTCCACGAGAAGGACCTCGCCATCACGGTGGAAGCGTTGGGCGAGAAGCACCCGAGCGTAGCCACATCGTGCTTCAACATTGGCCTGCTGCACGACACGCGCGGGGACAAGGAGCAGGCCTGCGCCTCCATCCAACAGGCGCTCGACATTTTCACAAGCACGCTTGGGCCAGACCACCCAAACACCCGCAAGGCAGAGCGCAATCTGCGGCGCATTCGTGGTGGTGCTGTGACCAGGCAGCACACATCCACGCAACACGTGTCAGAGTCTCAACTTCAGCAGCAACACGTGCTTGCTCATCGCAACCTTCTTCTTCGGTTCATCTCTTCTGCTGTTGTGTACCAGGCGTTTGCTCCACAACGCAACTTGCTCATGCGGTTTCTCGGTGCAGTTGCACAGGTTCACGCTGAGGCAAGACGCCCAGCAAACACAGGCAGCGACGGTGAGGACAAGAAGACAGGGACTGGGCACGGCTGTCCTCGTGGCTACTCTGCACCTGCAAGAGCGTTGTACAAGGACGCTTGCAAGTGCCCTGGTGAGCCACTGATCGGCTGGTTGCGGAAGCGTGGGCGACGGAGGGCCGCCTTTCGCCCGTGCTGGTGCAAGCTTGACGACGACGGCCACCTCGCGTACGGCAAGTCCGCTTCAGGCACGGCCAAGCGGCGCATCCCCCTTTCCAGCGTGCAGTCAGCTGAGCTCGCCCATGGTGGCGAGGAGTTACACGTTGCTGTTCCCGGCCGCACCTTCGTCTTCCGCCTGCACGCGCACTCTGACACCTCGCTCGCTGACTGGTGCACCGCCATCAACAGCCGGATCAACGCCACCACTTGACTGTGTGCTGTGCTGTGTGTGTGTGTGTGTGTGTGTGTGTGTGTGTGTGTGTGTGCGTGCTTGCTGGTTTGCTGGTTTCTCTCTTTGCTCCTTTGCTGACTTTGCTTTGTTTGTGTGACACTGTAGTAAACTCTTCACGCGATCCAACCGGCTGACAAGCAACGAGCATACAACCTACCACACCACACGTCGACCAAACAGGTCTACTTCCCTCAACCCATCCACGCATCAGCTCCAGGGTGCGGCCCGTGGAAAAGTAGTTCCATCAGCACGTGAATGTGTGGGGGCATCGGCAGCGGGTTCGGCCGCTCAGCGTGCACAACGCCCAGCAGCCTTGTCGGAGGGCTGGGTCGCCAGCCTGGACTCGCTGTCCGTCCGTGACCGTCCGGAACAGCACGTTGTCGCTGCACGCCCACGCCAATTGGGGATGCGTCCAACTCTCGTGCTGCACCTCCACCACCGCTGCCTCCTCGGGGTTCAGGTTGCCCGTCCCCAGCGACAGGTCCCACCATCCCAAAGGGCTGCAGCGACATCAGGAACATGAAGAGGTCTGCGTTCCAGCAGCGTGCTTCTGCAACCCTGTCTCCACGTCGGTCTTGCGGCGCATCATGCCCGCGAACACGGCGCCAATCCCCGACAGCAGCTTGAGCTTCGTCTCGAACGGCGCCTGCAGCGTCTTTTTGTTGACGACCACGTGCGTGTCCTTGCCCACTTCGCGCGCGTGTGTACTCGGACGAGAAGTTAGGGCACGTCTCCCGCGCTTGGGGCGCACCCGTCCGTCTGCGCAAACCACAATCGTGTTGACGTGTGTTGTCGTGCTGGAACGTGCGCTTGGGGGTCTCGGCGCCCTCCACACGTGCCTGCCTGCTGGGGTCGGCGAGCGACCTGAACCCAAACGGCCGTCGGCGGCGGTGGTCGATGGTGAGTCCGCCATCCCCGTTGGTGCTGGGGGAGGAAACGGACGCCACGACAGACGGACAAAAGGCTGGGCGTGGATGTTGAAGCGTTGTGGCAACGGAGCATGCTGGCTGAACGCACTTGTCGACATAGATGAGGTGTAATACCTGCAGAACCGAGGAGAGATGGTCGCCTGTTGGACAGGCGAGGAGACGGGTGAGTGGTGGATGAGGAGGAGCACGACAAGTCCACACGGGCGACTCAGGTGCAAACAAGGGCGCAAACGCACGCCACCACGCGCACACATGTGAGCACACACACATGAACGCACGGTCGATGGAGGTGTTTGTGTCGTTGGCGAGAGCGAGCCAGGTGCAGGTGACGGTGGCGGCGGCGGTGGTGCCGATGCGTTTCAGCTCTTCATTCGATTGAGACAGCTGCCATACACGGGGTGCAATGGAGAAGGAATGGTTGCGGTGGTGGTGGTGGAGATCAGGCGGTGGAGTGAAAAGAGCGAGAGACACTCTTCATGGAAGACAGACTTAAATCCAACACGCCTTCCTCAACGCACAAGTTCACGCACACACACGCACACACACACACACTCACTCAAACACACACACACACACACACACACACACACCATCCTCGTTCGCGTCGTCTTGAGGCCTGCGGCAGCGGTGCGCTGGCGGTCAAACGTGAGCGTGGTCAGGACACGGAAGAGCTGCAGAATGTGGATGAAGTGCAGGTTGCTTAGGCAGTCCAGGGTGCCGTCCAACATGAGCGCGCAAACGGGTGCAGCAGCTTCGGGTGGTCTGTGGCCAGCGACATAGCAGCACAGACATGGCTGCGTCCTACTCCTGTGCCTGCCCCGTGCCAATGTGCGCTACCAGGGCCCCAACCACCTCCTGCCGTGCACTCGCGGTCAGAGTCAAGCGTAGGCGCCTGGCTTGTGGAAGGTGCAAAACTTGCACCTGCTCGCGGTCGTGCGTGGAAATGTACTCCGAGGCCGCGTAAGACGACACGGGCACGCACGTGTCCTGGACGCACTTGCGGCAGAGGCGGCCGTGCTGGCGCGTGGGCTCGCAAAGCGAATCCCTTCCTCATCCTCATCGCACTGCGTGACGGGGCGGCACGACTCGGCCTGGCCGTCGACGGGCTTGAAGGTGGCACCAAGCTCGCACTGGCTGCACACGCGATCACTTGTGGGGGGGGGGGCTCGGCTGTCTCCTCCTCGCCGGCGTCACACGTGGTGACGGGGAGACAGGGCACGCCCTGGCCAGAAACGGCCTTGTACGTGCCCTTAGGGCACTTGTCGCAGACACGGTCGCTGATGAGGTGGGTCACGCCCTGCACCTCCTCAGACCCGGGCGCGCACTCTGTGACATCCTTGCACGGCGTGGGTGGCGGGATCGCTGTCGTGGTGGTCGTTGGTGCCTGCGCGGCGGGTGAAGCTGGAGCAGGAGCCGTGGGAGCGCGCCTCCGTGTAGTGGCTGGCGGGGCACATCTGGCAACCCGTGGAGCCGTCACTGGTGCCGGCCGGGCAGTCGCGGCACACGCGGTCCAAGGAACAGCGGGTTGGCGCGGACATCTCCTCCTGGCCGCGCTCGTACTCCTCAATGGGTGCGCACTTGCTGCCGCCCAATGGATGGGGAGAACTCCGTCACGCTGTCGCACGGCCGACAGTCGGCCGAATCGGCGTCGTAGACGAGGATGAAGCCTGCGCTGCACTCGCACGTGTCTGTGCAGCCTGGGCAGGAGCGGCGTGCCTCGTCGGCATCCATCTGGCGAATGGTGTCGCGGATGCCATCCTCGCCCTGGCCGGAACAGCACACGTCAAGCACCACGTCGAGCTGCTCGTCCATGGCCTCGGCGCACACCATCTCCTCAAACAGCTGCGTGATGAGCTTGTTGCAGGTGAGCGTGTCGCAGGAGCAGAGGCGGTCCGTGGTGAGCGTGGACGGGATGGTCTCGATGAAGGGCTCCTCGCACACGCTGGTGGGGAAGCACGAGGCGCGGTCCGGCAGCGGCTGGTACTCCATGCCGAGGGTGCAGCTCACGCACGAGCGGTCGCGCACGGCACTGCCAGAGACAGACGAACTCCTTCTGGGCCTGGCTTGCACTCGGTCCAGGGAGAGCACATGGCGTCGGAGGACACGGAGCATGGGGTGGAGGCCCAGGTGCCCATGCCACACATGGTGCATGGCACGAAGCGGTGGTCCTTGGCGTAGAAGTAATCGAGAGGGCAATCGGCAATGCACGACTGGTGAGGTTGCCGTCGCAGAGGTTGAGGCAGTCGGTGGCGTCTGGTGGAGTGGCATTCGGCACACCCGTTGGCCGAGCTTATACTTGCCGTCGTCGGGGCACTCGCTGATGCAGCGGCCGTTACTGGAGGTGAGGGTTGGGTCCGCAGGCCGTGCACTCATCGATGCCTGGAGAGGGAGGGAGTGGGAGTGGAGGGGGAGGATGGCGTGAGAGGCAATAATGACAACACTATTGTGAGATTGAGGAACCGTGCACCGCTTCATCATTTCAACGACACACACCCATAAGAGACTTTGAGGACAAGCACACACACACACACACACACACACACACACACACACACACACACACACACACACACACACAAAGCCAGCACAAGTAAACGTACCATTGGCTCGTGATGAAGCTATCTTTGAGCACCTGCCACAAGGCGTTGTGCACCGTGTGGACTGTTGTGCGGTTCTGCTGCACAACCTGCTCCAAGCAGCCGTTTGTGGTGAAGTATGTCTCCCTGAACTCCGTATCCGCGCCGCGGTTCAGCGTTTTCGCGACGTCATCGACGGGGTCGCGGGCGTACGTGTTGGTGTCGACCATGTTTGCAAATCGCATCGTCGTCTGTTCCAATCGCCACCATGTCACGCTTCCACTATCCGCGCACAATGTCGTTGAGCAGCATGTTGTTCGCACACGAGGGCACGCCGTTGATGCTCACGTACGAGCACATGACAGCGAGCGCCCGCGCTTGTACTGCACATGAGACACATGGCAGAGGGGAGCGGGATGAAGATGAGGAGGTGGGAGGTGAGGGGATGGCGCAGGCATGGTGGCGTGGACGAACGAACAAGACTTGTTGATGGGAGGTACATGAGCTGACACACACAGACACACACATACACACATACACCCAAACACACACACACATACACACACATACACACATACACACACATACACACACACACACACACACACACACACACACACACACACACACACACACACACACACGCACACCTTGATCTTGGTGCAATGGACGTGAGCTTGGAAGACGCTCGCCACGGCGGCTGAACAGCAGCACACAGCACACTGCCACCAACCACAAACAGCAGCGCTGTCACTGCCGTTGCACGCATCTCCCTTCTTGTCTTCTTCCCCACAAAACACAAACACAAACAGAATTGTGCCGAGTCAGCACTTTCTTCTTTGTTGTTGAAAGGGGTTCACTGCTGTGTGATGGAAGGCAGACGCACACGCACAGACATGCACAGACACGCACACACACGCACACGCAGGGGCGAACGGCTTGATGGAGCAGTGCTCTGCGTGGAGGAACGAAAGGGAAGGGGGTAACAACTGCTGTGCTGCTTGCGACCGGGACAAAAGCACGACAAGTGCACGGCAAGCCAGCCAGCAGCCCAGCCAGCAGGCAGTGAACAGCCGCAAACAAGTCTCCTTCTGGCCCGTTGCATACATGTGTGACACAAGCCACAAACACTGTCAGTCAGCCCACCGTCTGGCAACAGCATCCAAGATGCACTCGGCAAGGGCACTGGCAACTTGCGATTGGTGATTGTGGCGTCGTCGCCAGCAACGGCCTCATCTACGGCATCCCTCCCTTTGACGCAACTCCCACCACCTCTGTGCTCATCATCAGCCCATCAACAACAGCAGTGACAGCAGTGACAGCAGCAGCAACAACAGCAGTGGTTGACACGACCACCATCAACAGTCTGCAAACCGGTTGAGCCATGTGGGCACTGCAGACGGCGTGCTGGCTGTCTCACAACACCCTCCTCTACGGGTCTGACCACTGATCGCAGCACGAACACAGCAGACACAAGCACGCTTGGTGGGCTGCTACACGGCGGATGCAAGTGGATCAGCGGCGTGGCTGTGGACAATGGCCTTTTCCTGCCACGGCATTCCATGCAACTCGCCATCCATCCTCATCGTTGATCCAGCCGCAAGTGCGGTGGACACAACCATACTATCCGTTCCAGAAGTGCTATGGTGGTGTGTTGGCTTGCAACGGCTTGCTGTGTCGCATGCCCTGGCTCGTCCATCACATTCCTCCTCGTCGATCCACGGTACTGACACAGGTAGGCGTGCATGTGTGTGTGTGTGTGTGTGTGTGTGTGTGTGTTGGAAGAGAAGTGCATGTTGGGTTGGCACGCACCATGTGCGACTGCTGATGCTTACACGCTTCACCAATCCTGTCTGTTCCATCTCATCACACCACCTCAGTGAATTCCACGACCGTGACGGCCTCGGTGTGTCCATGTCACTCTTCTCCATGGTGACATTCATTCATTCACATCGGAGCAGTGACGCGTTCCGCCCACACAAACAGGAACATCCTCGTCACCTTCAGGTCTGTGCATGCATGCGTGTGTGTTTTGACGTGGTGCGATGTGGGGTTCGATGGTCACTGCTGCTGCTGGGTTTAGAGGTCGGTGTCGCTCACTGCACCACCACTCGCGCTTCTTGTAGCCGCTGCAACCTCACTCCAAACCTGTTGTGGTGCCGCTGCTTGACGTGTGTCTTCTTTCCCTGTTGTGCAGAAGCACTACCGAGTCTGCTCGCTCTTGATGCCATGCGCAACCACCTCCCAAAGCTGCACAACGGCAGGTGTGGTGTGATACGCGTGTGATGTGTTATGTGTTACTGTGTTCCGTGCGTGTGTCTCGTACGTTGCCTCGGAGTCAACTGGTTTTGGTGCTGTGTGAGTATCTGTCTGGATCCACCTCTCTCACTCACACATACACATCGCCTGTGTCTGCGCGCGTATGCAGGGGCATTGTGTTAGTGTGCGCGTGCCGGTGGTTTGGCGAAGAGCGAATGGGTCGTGAAGGGAAGGTTGGATATGACCCGTCGTGCAAGCAGGCAGAGGAAGAGTTCAACATACACACGCACGGAGCTGACGCTGGAGACCAAGTTTGGGCTCATCGTGGAAGGACTTGGCTACCACTCCTTCAGGTGTG